CGCGACCTGGCGAAGCAGCGCGCCGAAGCCCGCCGCCACCTGACGGGCGCTGAATCCAGCTCGGAGGGCGAGGGTGAGGGCGAGGGATCGCTGCACTCCAACAGCTCATCGCTGTCCAGGTTCCGCAGCGACGACAGCCTCCCCTCCAAGGACAAGGACTCGCTCAGCAGACGATCCAGGGCCGCGAGGACGGAGCGCTACCTGAGGAGGCTGTCCAAGGACGAGGAGGTCCTTGTGCCGGCCAAGTGGCCCAAGTCGATGTCGGCGACCTCCAGCCCCGTAACCAGCCCGCCGAGCCGTCCGCGCAATCCTGCGCACGCCGGGCACCCCGCCGATCCCCGCCTCGACCCAGCCAACATAGCGGGGCTGCCGCAGGCCTTGTCCCCGCGGGCGCGGCACGAGGTCAGGCAGCACCCCGTCGTGAACGGCCGCAGCCTCAGCTACGACTGCAACATGAACGACGTGATGGTGGTGCAGTTCCCCGTGGCCAGGGTGCACGCCGCACCCGCTGGGCCGGTCCCCGCCGGCCCGGGGGCGGCCCTCGGGGGCCTGGCCGTGGCGCCCCGCGGGGGCAGCGTCAGCCCGTCCCGGTTCTCGGCTTTCGCGAGGCATCAGCAACACTCTCAGCAGCTGCAAGGCGCGCCGCCGCCGCCGCCCCCGAGGGACCCCCAGCAGCAGCGGCGCTACCTGCCCCAGGCGCCGCAGGACCCGTCGCGACCCATGTCGTACGCCTTTGAGGCCGGCAGCCGACACAGCCTCAACAACCAACACCAACACCAGCTGCAGCAGCCACACCGGCCACAGGCGGCACAAGCACCGCAGTCCTACCAGCAGTACCCGCCCGATCAGGCGCACCCGCTGGACCAGTCATACGCACCCCAACAGTACCCGCAACGGTACTACCACGTCCGGGAACATCCATCTAGTCACACACCCACCTCGCCACCCTCGTCACTGCTGCACCAGCAAAACCTGCCTCAACAGCAACAGCAGCAGCAGCAGCAACAACAACATCAGCAGCAACAACAACAACAACAGCAACAACAGCAGACGTACACTTACTACGC